TCTGTGGGATCTGAATCGTGGTGCCTGTGTGGTCTGACACGTGTTGCCTGTGGGGTCTGAATGGTGGTGCCTGGTGGGTCTGATCGTGGTGTATGTGGGATCTGAACCATGGTGCTTCTGGGGTCTGACACATGGTGCCTGTGGGATCTGAATCGTGGTGCCTGCGGGGTCTGAATCATGGAGCCTGTGGGATCTGAATCGTGATGACTGTGGGGTCTGACACATGGTGCTTGTGGGATCTGAAACATGGTTCCTGTGGGGTCTGAGACGTGGTGTCTGTGGGGTCTAAGTCGTGATGCCTGTGGGATCTGAATCGTGGTGCCTGTGTGGTCTGACACATGGTGCTTGTGGGATCTGAATCGTGGTGCCTGTTGGATCTGAATCATGGTGCCTGTGGGATCTGAATCGTGGTGCCTGTGTGGTCTGACACATGGTGCCTGTGGGATCTGAATCATGGTGCCTGTGGGGTCTGAATCGTGGTGCCTGTGGGTTCTGAGTCATGGTGGTGTCGGGTCAGACACGTGGTGCCTGGGGGATCTGAATCGTGGTGTCTGAGGGGTCTGAATCATGGTGCCCGTGGTATCAGCATCGTGGTGCCTGTGGGGTCTGACAAGTGGTGCCTCTGGGGTCTGACAATTGGTGCCTGTGGGGACTGAACCGTGGTGCCTGTGGGGACTGACAAGTGGTGCCTGTGGGGTCTCACAAGGGGTGCCTGTGGGTGCTGAACCGTGGTGCCTATGGGGTCTGCCAAGTGTTGCCTGTTGGCTCTGAAGAGTGGAGGCTGTGGGGTCTGACAAGTGGTGCCTGTGGGGTCAGACAAGGGGTGCCTGTGGGGGCTGAACCGTGGTGCCTGTGGGGAGTGACAAGTGGTGCCTGTGGGGTCTGACAAGTGGTGCCTGTGGGGTCAGACAAGGGGTGCCTGTGGGGTCTGACAAGTGGTGCCTGTGGGGTCTGACAAGTGGTGCCTGTGGGGTCTGACAAGTGGTGCCCGTGGGGTCTGACAAGTGGTGCTGTGGGGTCTGACAAGTGGTGTCTGTATGGTCTGACAAGTGGTGCCTGTGGGGTCTGACAAGTGGCGCCTGTGGGGTCTGACAAGTGGTGCTGTGGGGTCTGACAAGTGGTGCCTGTCGGGTCTGACAAGTGGCGCCTGTGGGGTCTGACAAGTGGCGCCTGTGGGGTCTGACAAGTGGTGCTGTGGGGTCTGATCCATGGTGCCTCCGAGGACTGAATCGTAGTGCCTGTGGGATCAGAATCATGGTGCCTGTGGGATCTGAGTCATGGTGGTGTCAGGTCAGACACGTGGTGCCTGTGGGATCTGATCTTGGTGCCTGTGGGTTCTGACACGTGGTGTCTGTGGGGTCTGAATAATGGAGTCTGCGGGGTCTGATTCATGGTGCCTGTGGGATCTGAATCGTGTTGCCTGTAGGGTCTGAATCATGTTGCCTGTGGGGTCTGACACGTGGTGCCTGTGGGATCTGAATCATGGTGGCTGTGGGGTCTGACACGTGGTACCTGTTGGGTCTGAAACGTGGTGCCTGTGGGGTCTGAATTGTGGTGCCTGTGGGTCTGAATCGTGTTGCCTGGGGGGTCTGAATCGTGGTGCCTGTGGGATCTGATCGTGGTGCCTGTGGGGTCTGAATCGTGGTGCCTGTGGGGACTGATCGTGGTGTCTGTGGGATCTGAATCATGGTGTCTGTGGGATCTTAATCGTGTTGCCTGTGGGAACTGAATCGTCGCGACTGTGGGGTCTGACACGTGGTGCCTGTGGGATCTGAATCGTGGTGACTGTGTGGTCTGACACATGTTGCCTCTGAGGTCTGAATCGTGGTGCCTGTGGGGTCTGACACGTGGTGCCGATGAGATCTGAATCGTGGTACATGTGGGGTCTGAATCGGGGTGCCTGTGGGATCTGAATCGTGGTTCCTGTGCGATCTGACACATGTTGCTGGCAGGATCTGAATGATGGTGCCTGTGGGGTCTGATCGTGGTGTCTGTGGGATCTGAATCATGGTGTCTGTGGGATCTTAATCATGTTGCCTGTGGGAAATGAATCGTGTTGCCTGTGGGAACTGAATCGTGGTGCCTGTGCCATCTGAATCGTGGTGGCTGTCGGGTCTGACACGTGGTGCCGGTGCGGTCTGAATCATGGTGCCTTTGGGGTCTGAATCGTGGTGCCTGTGGGGTCTGAATCATGGTGCCTTTGGGGTCTGAATCGTGGTGCCTGTGGGGTCTGAATCATGGTGCCTTTGGGGTCTGAAACGTGGTGCCTGTGGGGTCTGAATCATGGTGCCTTTGGGGTCTGAATCGTGGTGCCTGTGGGGTCTGAATCATGGTGCCTTTGGGGTCTGAATCGTGGTGCCTGTGGGGTCTGAATCGTGGTGCCTGTGGGGTCTGAATCAGGGTGCCTGTGGGGTTGGAATAGTGGTGCCTGTGGAATCTTAATCATGATGCCTGAGGGTTATGAATCGTGGTTCCTGTGGGATCAGATCGTGGTGTCTGTGGGATCTGAATCGTGGTTCCTGTGGGATATGACACGTGTGGCCTCTGGGGTCTGACACGTGGTGCCTTTGGGGTCTGAATGGTGGTGTCTCTAGGGTCTGATTGTGGTATCTGTGGGATCTGAACAATGGTGCCTCTGGGGTCTGATACGAGGTGCCTCTGGGGTCTGAATCGTGGTGCCTGTGGGGTCTGAATAGTGGTGCCAGAGGGGTTCTGAATCGTGGTGCCTGTGGGGTCTGAATCAAGGTGCCTGTGGGATCTGAATCGTGGTGACTGTCGCGTCTGACACGTGTTGCCTGTGGGGTCTGAATGGTGGTGCCTGGTAGGTCTGATCCTGGTGTAGGTGGGATCTGAACCATGGTGCCTCTGGGGTCTGACACATGGTGCCTGTGGGATCTGAATTGTGGTGCCTGCGGGGTCTGAATTGTGGAGCCTGTGGAATCTGAATCCTGATGACTGTGGGGTCTGACACATGGTGCTTGTGGCATCTGAAACATGGTTCTTGTGGGATCTGAATCATGGTGCCTGTGGGATCTGAATCGTGGTGCCTGTGTGGTCTGATCGTGGTGTCTGTGGGATCTGAATCATGGTGTCTGTGGGATCTTAATCGTGTTGCCTGTGGGAACTGAATCGTCGCGACTGTGGGGTCTGACACGTGGTGCCTGTGCGATCTGAATCGTGGTGGCTGTGGGGTCTGACACGTGGTGCCTGTGTGGTCTGAAACGTGGTGCCTGTGGGGTCTGAATCATGGTGCCTTTGGGTTCTGAATCGTGGTGCCTGTGGGGTCTGAATCGTGGTGCCTGTGGGGTCTGAATCGTGGTGCCTGTGCGGTCTGAATCCTGGTGCCTGTGGGGTCTGAATCAGGGTGCCTGTGGGGTTGGAATAGTGGTGCCTGTGGAATCTTATTCATGATGCCTGGGGGTTATGAATCGTGGTTCCTGTGAGATTTGATTGTGGTGTCTGTGGGATCTGAATCGTGGTGCCTGTTGGGTCTGAATCGTGGTGCCTGTGGGATCTGAATTGTGGTTCCTGTGGGATATGACACGTGGTGCCTGTGAGGTCTGACACGTGGTGCCTGTGGGGTCTGAATCGTGGTGTCTGTGGGATCTGAATCGTGGTGACTGTCGCGTCTGACACGTGTTGCCTGTGGGGTCTGAATGGTGGTGCCTGGTAGGTCTGATCCTGGTGTATGTGGGATCTGAACCATGGTGCCTCTGGGGTCTGACACATGGTGCCTGTGGGGTCTGAATCGTGGAGCCTGTGGGATCTGAATCCTGATGACTGTGGGGTCTGACACGTGGTGTCTGTGGGGTCTAAATTGTGGTGCCTGTGTGCTCTGACACATGATGGTTGTGGGATCTGAATCGTGGTGCCTGTGGGATCTGAATCGTGGTGCCTGTGTGGTCTGACACATGGTGCCTGTGGGATCTGAATCGTGGTGCCTGTGTGGTCTGACACATGGTGCCTGTGGGATCTGAATCATGGTGCCTGTGGTATATGAATCGTGGTGCCTGTGGGATCTGAGTCATGGTGGTGTCGGGTCAGACACGTGGTGCTTGGGGGATCTGAATCGTGGTGTCTGTGGGGTCTGAATCGTGGTGCCTGTGGGGTCTGACAAGTTGTGCCTGTAGGGTCTGACACGTGGTGCCGATGAGATCTGAATCGTGGTACATGTGGGGTCTGAATCTGGGTGCCTGTGGGATCTGAATCGTGGTTCCTGTGCGATCTGACACATGGTGCTTGCAGGATCTGAATGATGGTGCCTGTGGGGTCTGTATCGTGGTGCCTGTGGGGTCTGAATCGCGGTGCCTGTGGGATCTGAATCGTGGTGCCTCTGGGGTCTGACACGTGGTGCCTGTGGGGTCTGAATCGTGGTGCCTGTGGGATCTGATCGTGGTGCCTGTGGGGTCTGAATCGTGGTGTCTGTGGGGTCGGATCGTGGTGTCTGTGGGGTCTGAATTGTGGTGTCTGTGGGATCTGAGTCATGTTGCCTGTGG